AAAAAATCAGATGCTAATCACACATAAACATGCATACATATGTGTTTGAATGTATGCATATATGAAGCTACTCCTAAGCTTCATACTAAAGAAAATTATAAAATGAGTTATTAAGACACTTGGTAAGAGGTAGAAGTTTAATATATGTTTACCAATTCTCTACATGATATAGTATACTTAAATATTTGGATATAAAGAAAAACTACCAGTCTCAGATCATACTATAAAAGTAAAATTTAAGTAAAATATCAGGATTTATTCTATTAGGAGAGATAATTTGTATTTAGGTAGGACTATTGAGTATGAATTTACATAAAATCATTGGAAATCTCCCTAGTATAGAAAATCATAAATTAGAAAACATGTAACATGTGTCCGGAGTGTTCTTAAAATTTCTCAAACAGATAACAAAATCACTCCTCACATACTCCCAACCATGATGCAAAAAGAAAACAGAAAATAGTGTGACATAGATTTCCAAATAAATCAGCAAATACGTGCACATCTTCAAAGCATCAGAATGGTAATCAGATAATGCAGTTCCTAACAAACCATTAAGTGGATTTTGATTTCCTCTGTAAACTTGAAAGATTATTGAGAAAGCAGAGTTTTTGAAGAATTTCAGAACATGGAATAAGAGATGTCCCTTTGTGACAGGAAGAGAAAGAATCTCAGGTTTCTAAGAAAGCATTTCCATTGGAGTAGACCGCCTTCCCAAACCACATTTCAAGCTCTGATTCCTCAACCTGTGTCATCTGTCTCATTCACTCCCTCTTACCTGGAAATTTTGCTAATGTGCCATGTCTCTTCACATTCCAGGGCTCTTTCCTTTGCTCCAGACATGTAATAAGGTCTGGCTTAGAGACAGAAAGTCCTGTTTAATTAGAAAAAATTAACATAACTCTTGCTGGGGTTCTTAGATTACAAACCTAGTATTTGATCAGTAGAGAACATATTGTATAAGATTCTAGATAATTAACCCCAAAATATAGTTTCCAAATAAAACCTTTAGAACATTTAGATAAAATTTTCAATTTATGGATTTCTTTTTATTCTAAGTTGGAGTCTCACTCTGTCACCCAGGCTTGAGTGCAGTGGAATGCTCATAGCCACACCAGTGGTCACTGGTAGGGCTCAGGTAATTCTTCTCCCTCAGACTACCAAGTAACCAGAAACACAGGTGTGCATTACTATTCCCAGATAATTTTTTGATTCAGTGTAGAGATGGGGTCTTGCCAAGTTGCCCAGGCTATTCTTGAACCCATGGGCTCTGACAGTCCTCTCAACTCAGGCTCCTAAAGTGCTGGCATTACACGGTTGAGCCACCATGCCTGGCCTTACATTTGTGAGTTCTTAGTTCAGTACTGGTGAGGCAAAAACTTATGGCAGCAATTTGAATGAGATGTGGGCAATGATATCTATGCCACTAAATTTCTGAATTTACCAGTAATATAGCTAGAAAGACACTGGTCAATTTAAAATAGAGAAGGCTTCATGTCAAAATGAAACATCATTAATTATTTATTTTCTATGTTTACATATTACCAACTTTTTGTTGATAGTAGGAATCTGAAACTCATTCTCGCAAAGCAGAAATTCCCAGAAAACTTTCTATAAATGAAGGACATAAAATCCTTAGTATGAAATAGGATTGTGTTTTGAAAATTTTCTCACCCAGAAAAACCAGGTTTCTATGGTTCTCTAACATCACAGTCCTGTACAATATTCGCTGAGGGGAGTTTAGGCATGCCCACTCGTCTGGAGAGAATTCTATGGCCACATCCTTGAATGACAACAACCCCTGAAAACAACAAAAACACATATTTACCAAGTCACCATGGCCTCTAGGTAAAGCAAGAGTGAAAACAGGGTCCAGCTGACAAGATAACTGTTATTATGCAATAAAAAAATTCATAACACAGAAATATCCTCTAATGCATTAAATGTGGGAAAAAAAGATGAAATAAAATCCACTCAGCCAGTGTAGACGCTCCATTTTTGTGAGTGAAACAGCATAGAATTTACACCAACACAGGCATGTACATTTTAAATCACTGTATATATCACATAAAATATGTTACACATACTGCTCCTAGTAACTCAGATAATCTTCGTCAAGTTTTAATTTGAACAACAATGAATTGAATTGAATATCTTGTTAAAATGTAAATTCTGATTCAGAATACATGGATTTAGCCTGAGGTTCTGTGCTTTTTTGTTCACTTGGTGTGTCTCATTCTTTTTTTTTTTTTTTGAGTTGGAGTCTCACTCTGTCACCCAGACTGGAGTGCAGTGGTCACTCCCGGCCACTGCAGCCTCCACCTACTGGGCTCCCACTATCCTACTGCCTCAGCCTTCCAAGTAGCTGGAACTACAGGCGTGCGCTACTACGCCCAGCTGGGTGTGTCTCATTCTGAACCAGGCTAGGGTGCCCTGGCATAATCACACCTTATTGCAGTCTCAATCTCCTTGGCTAAAAGAATCCATCCTCCATAGCGTCCCAAGTATTTGGGACAAATTGGTATCAGATGTCAAGCCACCCAGGTGGAACACAACATCCATGCTGAGATCTTTTGGCCAAAAGTTATACTAATTTATTATTACTTTTTGAGTTGGATTCTCATTCTTCTCACCCAGACTGCAGTGCAGTGGTGTGCTCATGGGCACTGCAGCCTCGACCTGCTGGACTTAGGCAATCCTTCTGCCTCAGCCTTCCAAGTATCTGGAACTACACAACATGCCTGACTAGTTTTTGTAATTTACTGTAGAGACAAGGTCTCGCCAAATACCCAAACTGTTCTCAAAACACAGACTCGGCCAAATCTGTTGCCTTAGCCTTCCAAAGTGCTGGGATTACAGGCTGAGTCACCACAATCATCCAATATAGTAATTTATAATCTCAATTTAATAACAAGCAAGCTCATGTTACACAGAAATCAGCCTACAGGTATCTCCCATGGCATGTAATCTCTGAAAGTGTATTTATATTTTTTGTTTTTGGCATCCTAGAGAGCAAGTCTCTTCTAATTATTCTTTATTCAGACTATCTGGAGTTATTTGGGGTAGTAACTGCCATCCTGTTAAAATGTACATTTTATTAACCATATTCTGGATGAAGCTGATGGAGCATCTAGACAGAACCTTAAAGTACATGTTCTTGGTAGGAGCAGAGGCTCATTCCTATAATCCCAGCACGTTGGGAGGGCATGGCAAAATAATTTCCTGAACCCTTGAGTGTGAGACCAGCCTGGGCAACTTGGCAAGACATTTCTACAATAAATTAAAAAATTAACTGGGCTCTGGTAGCCATGAGTGAGACAGTGCATTTCATTCTGGACAACAGAGGAAGACTATATACATGTTTCTATCCTTCATTAGGATCTATCCAATTTCCAATGAGATTCTTGGATACCATGCCTTCCCATGACCCCTAGTAACAAGAGAACATTTTTAATAATGCAGGTCATACATTCATGGTGAGAATAGTTTATGAAAACTAAGCAGTATGGTTGAAGAGAACAGAAGAGGCTATGTAGGAGCAGTGTCCAACAGACCCATTGAATATCACAGAAAGAACAAACATAGTTGAAACAAACTCATTAGGCAGGACCATCACAAGGACAGCAGCATGGTTTGCAAGTTTTACACACATGACATTCCTTCTGTTCTGAGACACATTTATTTACCTGAGAAGCAGCCATTTTTTCTTTTTCCTCCTACTTCTCTGGGATTTCTTCTCAGGTGAGATTATCCAATCAAGTTACACCTACGTTTTGAAAATGTCTTTACTTATTTCAAAATGAAATAGAATGTATTTATTTTTTGTCAGTCTTACCACCCACTTGGAAGCCCTCGCTTGCTCTCCTGTTTGCCTGAGGTTCTCTTTGATTTAATTCTTCCACCATCTCCCTGAGGTGGGTGTACTTTGTCATTTAGGACAGTTTTCCTTCTTTACAAATGCAAGATAATCCAGAAGACAGACTTCAATTCTGCCTTTTCCCTTCAAAAACAGTGATGTGTCTACCAGTGCACAGAAACCAGTCGTCGAACTAAAATTTTTTAAGTTACTAATTTAATAATATAAAACTCAGACCTAATCAATCCAAAATGTCAACTCTCAAAAGTTCGACATAACTGCATTTTAGACCAGGGTGGGGTAGGGGATCTCTGGCCTCTTTGTGTGTTCTATGTAGCTAAAATAATTTTGAAATGCTGACAAGGTTGGCACTAGTATGCAGCTGTCCAGACTACTCTGGGAAAGTGGGAGTAATGCACTAACTATGTTTTAATAAAGGAACAAGGAGGCTGTGAACCAAGGACAAAGATAATTTACCACTTTCCAGGACTCCTCTCATCGCCTACATATCTGCAAGTCTAAGCCACCTCGATATTAGTCACTCTCTGTCCCACAGCCTGGATAAAAATTTTGAAAAATCACAGCCGAGCTTGGTGGCTCTGCCTGTAATCCCGCGCCTTTGGGAGGCTGAGGTGAGTGGACTGCCTGAGCTTGCAGGTTCAAGACCCGCCTGGGCAGCAAGACCTCATCTCTACAATAAATCAAAAAAACAAAAATCAGCTGGGCGTGGTAGCGCATGCCTGTAATTCTGGCTACTTGGAAGGCTGAGGTGGAAGGATTGCTGGAGCCCAGCAGGTCGAGGCTGCAGTGGCCAGGAGCAGCCACTGCACTCCAGTCTGGGTGACAGAGTGAGATTCCAACTCAAAAAGAAATGAAAAATCACACACAACCCAGGAGGGGTCTTTAGGATGCCATCCCCTCATTTCCTTGATTTCAGTGACCCTACTAAATAAAGTCATAAACCGTGCTCTAACTCCATATGTTGACTGAACCAGATTTGGACCTGGTACACAAATGTCCAATGACACTAATGATAGACCCTGGAGATTTCCACCTAGATAATTAGATAAGGCCACTGCAGAACTCACCCAACAGCACTTACCCATCCCAGCTTCCCCTTGCCCCTTCTCAAAGCCTTTCCTCCCAGGCCCTCCGGGATCTCCACACCATGAGTCCTGGCTGGTGTTTCTGCACTCAAGAACCGCTGTTGGCCAAGAGGCCTGCTTAACATTGTGAGGGAGCCAACGTTTAACTCTGGGGAGGAGAGAGAGTGGGCCAGGATCATAGCCTCCCCTTCCCCCCACCAGCACCCCACACCAGTTAGATCCTCTTCATAACCCTCGTGGGTTCAGCACATTTGGAGATGGTGAGCTGCACGGAGAATGCTTAGCAGGCAATGTCGCTTCAGGGTCAAGACCACAGGGTCCCGGCCCAGGCCCACTACACCGAGAGGACTGGGCCAAGTCACCGGTGGGGATGGGTCTAGGCTCAGAGGTGACCGAGAGGCCAGTCCCTAAAGAGCCTGGTCATCCGGGTCCATCCTCACACCCCCTCTCGGGAAACCTCCCCGCACACTCACCACCTCCCACTTTCCGAAGGTCTCAGTGTCCATCCTACGAATCTCCCAGGACCTGCATGTCACAGGACAACACAGACTAAAATGAAGATATGCAAGGCTGACGAAAAAAACTAAGGCTCTGTAAGAGCCCAGAAGCTGCCCTCTCACTTCCAGCTCCTGTCTGATTGGCCATGTCAAACCCCAGCATCAGTTGACTGGATAAAACCCCAGTCCATCTTGTTTTGAGTGACAAAACATGCGATCAGACGTGTGCTGAATGAGGCAAGAGAATGTTGAGATTTCTCCCAGCTCCAGAATGAGGTAGGGACGTGTGAGGGGGCCCCTTACAGGACTTCCTGGGAACTCTGGTGTCTGCGTGGACCCAGTTGGTGGGTTGCAGAGCTGCAGGACTCCAATCCCAGTGTGTCCCGGGAGAGGCAGTGTTGATCTACAGTACAGCGAACCACCAACTAGGAGCTACGAAGGCTCCCGTCATGCCTCAAAGGGGCCCACAAGCCTCCTCCCCCCAGCCTTCTGCCCAGACTCCGGGGCAAGGAGAAATCTAAAGGCATTTTTGCCCATGGAGTCCTTCTCAGTTTACACCCCTTGTTAGTCAAAACCAGAAGGGCGGGTCCTGAAGGTTTTTCCAATCAATGAATGCTGAGGTCTGAACTGGTCAATCAGACGGGAGCTGGAAATGACAGGGCGGCTTTTGGGCTCTGGTCGCCCCTTTGTCTCCTGCGCCTGCGCGGGGAGTTGGGTCGTCCTCTCTGCAGTGTCCAGTACTCTGATACTTACGTGTGTCTTCGCTTCAACCTCTGTCGCCCTGCGATCTGCAGGACGTGAAAGCCCTTGGTGAGGCTGCCAGGACATCAGGAAGGTGGGAGAAGGTGAGTATGCTGGGGGTGACACGAGAGGGGAAGTGGATGAAGTCGGATGACCCGGTTGTGGCGGGACCAGCCATCCCCTCAGTTGACAGTGAATACGTCCCTGCCAGCAGCTGGGCCTGGTGTCCTCGATGTATAATTGAGGCTAGTCCGGGACTCTGGGGACTTGTCCCATCCATGACCTCACCAGCTGAGCCCGCTGTGAACAGCCCCTCTTTCCACGTGTTCAGGACCCAAAAGTGGTGGGGAGGATCTGACTAGGTGTTGGGACCAACGGAGGGAGGATCTGGGGTACTGTTCCCCATCCCTCCTTTCTCCACCCCAAGGTTACATCACAACATTGAGGAACAATTTCTCTCTTTGTAGCTGTGGAAATCAATACATTTCCACCAGAAAGTGTGATAGATTAATTGTTGAGTTTCACAGGTGCATGGAAGCATCCATTACATTTGTTTTTTGAGTCAATCTCACTCTGACACCCAGGCAGGGGTGCAGTGGCACACACACGACCAAGCCAGAATCAACCTGCTGGGTTCCGCTGATCCTTCTGCCTCAGTCTTTCAAGTAGCTAGAACTACAGGCACACGCTACCACACCCAGCTAATTTTTTTTTTTATTTATTGTAGAGAGGAGGTCTCACCAAGGTGCCTGGACTGGTATTGAACATACGGGCTCAGATGTTCCACTCGCCACGACCTCCGGAGACTAACCAATAACACTTTCAATAAATTGTTTTTTAATGCTCAGTTTAGTAATAAGAATAAAACTCTCCGTGGACAAGAATAAATTTAGCCATATGGGTTGACTCCAGTTTCCTCTTACTTGGGTAAATAATGAGGAGTAGGTCTAGAAAAACACACTGTTAGATAACAGGTTTACCACCATATTACAAAGCCACTAGAAAAAAACAGATCAAGTGGTTAATATCCCTACACCCCAGAAACTTCCAACTGTTGTAAAAGGGTAAATGCTTGAATCAGCACAATGTGGTCCATACAAAGAAGGGAGGTGTCCATGGTACCTGACTTTTTTGTTGTGAGTTCTGATGTTACTGCTTAAGAGAGCATTCACAGACAGAATTGTAACTCTTTCAATATCATTTCTGCTGGGTTGTCATTGTTGAAAATAACCATACAGAGCCGGGCTCGGTGGCTCAGCCTGTAACCCCATGCTTTTGGGAGGCTGAGGTGAGTGGATTAACTGAGCCCGCAGGTTTGAGACCCGCCTGGGCAGCGAGACCTCATCTCTACAATAAATCAAAAAATCAGCCGGGCGTGGTAGCGTGTGTCTGTAGTTCCAGATACTTGGAGGGCTGAGGCAGAAGGATCGCCGGAGCCCAGCAGGTCAAGGTTGCAGTGGCTGGGAACAGTCACTGCCCTCCAGTCTGGGTGACACAGTGAGACTCCAACTCAAAAAAAATAAAAATAAATAACCATATAGGTTTTTTTGTGTTTTGCCCAGGATGGAGTGCAGTGGGACACTCACAGCTACTGCATCCATGACTTGTTGGCCACAGGCAATACTTCCATGTCAAACTTCAGGCATGTGCCACCATGCCCCACTAATTGCTTGATTTATTGCTGAGATGAGGTCATGCCAAGCTGGCCTGGCTAGTCTGGAACCCCGGGGTCCAGGCTATCCTCTCATCTCATCTCCCAAACTACTGGAATTACAGGTGTGAGCCATTTTGCCCAGCTATCCCCCATGTGATCCTAACATGGTGACATTGTCAAGTTGAGGGCTGCCAGATATGTTTGTGAAAGTTGAATTCAGAAGGGAGGTCACCTGCCCTGATCTGCTTGGGTTAGGTCAGGCAGGTAAGCCAGTGGGGCCATATATTTATTGCCGTAGAAGAAATTGCCAGTGTTTCTGGCAAGGGAGGACACCTGTGGAAAGAAAAGATTTAACTCAAACTTTGCAATCCTTGCAGGACCTCACTGTATTTGAATCTGCCTCCTGTGACAAAAAACAGAGAAAGGTAGATGTTATCACCCTCTCTGGATCCTCCTGCCTGTGAGTGTGGTGGTAGCAAGGAAAGGATTGTGCTTATGAGAAAGGCATCTTCTGGCTGCACATCATAGCTTATGCCAGGAATCCTATCACTTAGGGATGCTGAGGGGAGAGGATTGCTTGAGGTCAGGAGTTTGAGACCAACCACTACAACATAGCATATTCATATCACTATAAAAATAATTAAAGAAAAATTAGCCAGGAGTACTAGCAAAGGCCTGTAGTTCCAGGTATTTTGGAGACTGAGATGGAAGGATTGCCTAAGCCCAGGAGTTCAAGGCTGTAGTGAGTAATAATGGTGCCACTTCACTTCTGCCGCAGTGGCAGAATGAGACTAACAAAAAATAAATACATTCAATTTAATTTTAAAATAAATAAAGGCAGCCGGGCTCAGTGGCTCAGTCTGTAATCCCGCGCCTTTGGGAGGCTGAGGTGAGTGGATTGCCTGAGCCCATGGGTTTGAGACCCGCCTGGGCAGCCACACCTCATCTCTACAATAAATCAAAAAATCAGCCGGACATGGTAGCACATGCCTGTAATTCTGGCTACTTGGAAGGCTGAGACAGAAGGATCACCGGAGCCCAGCAAGTTGAGGCTGCGGTGGCAGGGAGTGGCCACTGCACTCCAGTCTGGGTGATGGAGTGAGACTCCGACTCAAAAATAAATAAATAAATAAATAAATAAATAAAGGCATGATTTCAGCATGTATGTGTGACTTGTCTAGATCATTTCACCTGTAAAGAAATTCCAGAGGGCCAGACTGGGCGGCTGAGGCTGTAATCTGAGCACTTTGGGAGACCAAGGCAAGTCTTGAGTCTATGCGTTCAAGACCAGCCTGGGCAACTTTGACAAGACCTTGTCTCTACAATATATTAAAAACTGACCAAGCATAGCTCGGCCTATAGTTACAGCTACTTGGAAGTCTAAGATAGAAGGATCACTTGAGCCCAGCAGGTCATTGCTGGGGTGGCCATGACCGTGCCACTGTACTCCAACCTGGACAAAGAAGTGAGACTCAGACTCAAATTAAAAAAAAAAAGAAATCCCAGAGAAGTTGGAGGAAAAGGAAAGAAAAAGGCTGGTTCTCAGGTAAATGTGTCCCAGGTCAGAAGGACTGTCATTTTTAAAACTTGAAAACCGGCTGGGCTTGGTGGCTCAGCTTGTAATCCTAGCACTTTGGGAGGCCTAGGTGAGTGGATGACCTGAGTCTGTGGGTTTGATTCCTGCCTGGGCAACTTGATGAGACCTCATCTCTACAATAAATCAAAAATTATATGGGCATGGTAGCACGTGCATGTAGTTCCAGCTACTTGGGAGGCTGAGGTGGAAGGACCACCAGAGCCCAGTAGGTCAAGGCTGCTGTGGCCAGAAGTGGCCATTGCACTCCAATCTGGGTGAGAGAGTACGACTCAAACTCAGGAAAAAAGAAAAAGAAAACTTGAAAACCTCACTGCTACTTGTGATGGTCTTGCCTCTTGAGTATTTTTCAACATTTTTGTTCTTCTGGTATTCAAGGGCTCTGAAGGACACATCTCCCTACATACCAGAGGCCCCATGTTCTCAGCATCGATGCTGCCTAGCTGCCATGAATTGATTTTCACTGTGAATGTATGACCTGCAATATTAAAAATGTTCTCTTGCCAGGCTCGGTGGCTCAGCCTGTAATCCCGCGACATTGGGAGGCTGAGTTGAGTGGATTGCCTGAGCTCGCACGTCCGAGACCCACCTGGGCAGCAAGACCTCATCTCTACAATAAATCAAAAAATCAGCCGGGCATGGTAGCGCATCCCTGTAATTCCGACTACTTGGAAGGCTGAGGCAGAAGGATCGCCGGAGCCCAGCAGGTCAAGGCTGCGGTGGCCGGAACAGCCACTGCCCTCCAGTCTGGGTGACAGAGTGAGACTCCGACTCAAAAAAAAAATGTTCCCTTGTGGTTGGGGAACATGGGAAGGTGTGGATATCCAAGCTTCCCATTGGAAATTGTGTAGATCCTCAGATACAAAGAATGAGAATGGGAATGTGTATGTTGAAGATTTCACATTATGCTCCATCAGCTCCATGAAGAACATGCTTAATATCATGCACATTTACACAGGATGGTGGTTACTGCCAAGAACACAAAAATGTCTGAATAAAGAATTACTCCAAGAGAGCTGC